CAAAATACAAGTGGGAAATTGGAAGTGGTTTGGTCCTAGCCCTACATGTACTAAAACTAAGCATCATAAGGTGTCCTGATTAAGAGTTCACGATCAGGCTTGAATTTTACAGAAGGCTGGACTGGAATCCAAAGCTCCTGGTATGGTGTGATTTATTTTTATTTTTTTTACTGTGTATTTCTTCTCGGTAACAATTGTGCCTTTAAGAATAGAGGAGTTTGGAGTATGGCCATCTGTTTTCAAGAGAAAGTATGAGTGTGGATACATACATATATGCATACAACTTGCATGTGTGTGGTGTATTGAGAAAGAAATATATAAGCATACATACAGAGAGTGTTACCCTTTTTAAGAAACCAGGTTGTGTAAGTCGATTTGGAGCAACTGTTGACTTAATTAAAATGTCTTTTGGTGTTTGTTTGTTTATTTGTTCTTAGTATCTTTGCAGCAGCCTGTAACCTGAAGAGAGTATACCCCTGGAAACCAGCTTTTTCAGACCCAGGTAGCAGAAGTGAAATCATTGTAATTAGCAAATAGAGGCATCTTCTTCTAAGAGAAGCAAAACAAGCAAGGTTATTCCTAAAGGAGTTGTCATCTAGGGATTTGTGCACAGGGCAGTACTAAGCTGGGTTACAGAAGGAAAAAAAGAAGTTAAACCCCATGTAGTTAGTGTAGGATCCTAGAAACTAATCTATTGTTGGGAAAATAGCTGCTGAGAACTATCATGCAGCCTAGGAAATGGGATATCGAATAGATCAAAACCTCATTGTCACAGGTGCAGCCTTAGGATGATTTTTCTGTTTTGAGATGTGGACTGTTTAGCTACTTCCATTCTCTCCACAAAAACGTAAGCACTGCTCTGCTTTAGTAAACAGCATTCACAGCCGAGGCTGTTGAGATAGTGTCATCTAGCTGTTTTATTGGCAATCTGCTCAGGAGCACAGGAAAGGGAAGGATGTTGTCCACATCTTGCACACCATTTACCTCATTTCAAGCATAGCTCATTCTGTAGTTCCCGTTTCACTGCCTAGACTTTACTTATGAATGTCAAAGTTTAAGCAGCAGAACTGTTTATGAAGCAGTCATGACTATAACAAAAAATGTTTCAGCCTGATCATACCATAGTAAGATGCATTCTCAAACCCCTGGTTTGAGTAAAGTGTCTAAATGTTACCACGCTTTTTTCCAGTTTATTCTGTGGCTTCAGAAAGTGATTTAATTGCTTTTCTTCCAGAGGCAGCAAGTAGGCACACACCTCATCCACTCATCCCACTTGTACAGTGCCAGATCCTGCTACCAGCTGAGGACCGTCTCCAGGAATTACATCTGGTTACAGAATGAGGTAGTGGTGTGGCGTTTCCCTTTTAGCAGGTGTGTAGTATGCAGACATGCCCTGTACCTGTGTACTTTTGCAGTACCAGCTTGGTTCCCAGTAATTCCTTGTTTCCCCAGCAAATTTCTTGCATTCCCATTAGCCATAAGGACATCACTGAAATTAAGCCAATATGATCCAAAATAGTAATTGTCCATGTTTTCATTGGTTTGTCAGACACAGGGCAACAAAACACAAATTTGCAGCCACTGCTGTGGATTTAGGTCAGATAAGGAAGGACTTCTATAGTTCTGCTAGTCCAGAATTGCTTCTAGAATAAAATGACATTGCCATTTATGTTCTTCTGCATATCTTGCATACTAAAAACTTGCTTACCTAATTCCGTCACAAGTCTGTCTCGTTTTAGTGACAGCATCACACATGGGGCTGAGTGTTAGGAATATTAGGATGCATTTTTCCCACGTAAAATTATACGAAGTACCCTTCTTCTGCAAATGTAGTGTTTGCCTTAACTCTGGCACAAAAGATGTCTGGATTTTATTTTACAAGATGTGCTTTTTCTTTGAAGTTTGAAGTACCTTAGCATCTGATTTCCCACTCTGAAATGACTTTTGGATTAATCAGACCATCTCAAAGGCAGATCACCTAAGTGTTCAGGTCAGAGCAATGCAGTGTAAGTAAGTCTGAGTTTGACCTACAGTGACAGCGGACATTCTAGGGCATCGTCCAGGTTTTACCTGGGACATCAGAACTGGAGGCTGTAAGAGCAGTCCTGAGGGCTCTGCAGCTCCACTGTCTCAGAGAATTACTCATTCCTGTTCTCTACAGTCATTTTCTGTTCCTGCACATTGTTAATGGTTTTGCAAGCAAGGGCATATGAAGAGTGTGGGTAGAACCAATTTATTGCACTTCTCCAGAATTACTGTGAAGTAACTCTTATGTCAATAATCTTTGTTTTACATTTCTTCAGTAGCAACTCCAGCAAGAAAACAAAGTTGGGCAGGGGAGACAGAGAACAAGTTGTACAGTTCTAAAAAAAATACAGGTAAAATCAAAACTAATGGGGCATTTAATCTTTATTAGTGTGAAAGTGAGCAGCTTTTTGTAAAGACGTGAGCAAAAAGGCATAAGGAAGCATTGTGCTCCCTGAATTGTATTGGCTGTGTACTAAGGATGGGGGGCAGGGGCAGAAAGCTGTGTTTCTGTCTCTCATCAGGGAATTTTTTCCTCCCCAGCTTCTGCAATTTGAAGATTGAATCTGCTTTCATTGCTGCAGCAGTCACACCTCCACCAATGAAACCAGTGTGGTAAGCATACATAAGGCTCAGAACCTGAAGACCTGCACAGTTCAGTGAATGGAACTATTATTTGTTACATTTCTTTGAGCTGGAGACTTGCACTTTATATATCCTCTGAAAACTATTTTTGAGCATGGCCCCATGAATCTGAAAGTTGTATTTATTTGCTGAGTAATAACGGTAGTAGTGCCAATAGCAATAGGAAGTCCACAGTAAGAGTTCTGAAATTATATAAAAATAGTGGGGTTGCAGCAATAAATAACAGCATTTGCACTTTTAGAAAACCAAAGTTCTGATTCAGTTTGGTTTGGAACACAAAGTGTGGCAGTATGCTTCTTCCAGCTCTGCCTTGTACATCACTCCTTGTCATCGGCCCTGGGTTTGTACCATGAAGAGAAAACTTGGCCTTGTCCATAGGCAAGTAAGTGAGGACCTCCAGCTGCTGTACTGAGAGGAGCATAGCACTGGGAGCAGGATTCCAACATAGTGGACTAACCTAAGCCACTTATGGTCCATGGTACTCATGGACTACATGAGCTCTAGTCTCATGGGTAGACTTTTGAAAGGTTTAAATGTTATGCTTAATTGTTACCAGCAGTCAAAAGAACAGGTTAAGCACAGTCCAAAAGAAATAAACAACTACCCAAATTAGATTCATTCTCTGCTGTGGTTCCCTGAGGTCAGGTATCTCAAAGGGTGTACTCTCACACTGCTCTTCAGATGTTTGCACATCAGCTCCTTACTCAGTTGTTTGTTACAAAACTCAAGTATTCAAGCCATTTGCCTGTAAATGCTCCACAAAGAGCAATGAACTACTTTTTATCTTCCTTCTCCATCTACTTACTATCCTTAGCAGCTTAATACTTGCTGCATTAAAAAAGAATTTTACAGGGGAGAGAAGCAGGGCTGCTGGTAGTGGCATGCAGGAGGACTGACACATTAAAGCACTGTTGAGCCAATGCACTGTTGAATTCTACATTTTACTTAAAAATTACATGGAGAAGTAGACAAGAGTATTGCACTAAATCAGTTTCACTTGTGTAATGGACTTTATGGATTTAATTTCCAGTCACACACCAAACACACATCTACTGATCCAGCATTTCCTCCCACAATAATCCTCCACTTTTCACTTTATAGGAGTTGAGGATTGGTTTAATTCTAACCTGCAGTTTAAAAGTATTTCTGTATGCCTTTACAAAAGGATATTAAAAGCTAAACAAAGTTGAACATAAAGCTATGGTGGGTTCTTAGTTTGAGTCAAAGGCTTATAAAAATAACCCTTTTAGAATGTAGGTTACTCAGGTGTTGTAGGAAACCTGTGTTGTGCAGGGCAAAATGCTGTCCTGCACACAGCCCTGAATCATTTCCAGGTAGCAAACACGTGGATGAGATCTCCTTATTTCTGTGCATACAGGTATGTAAGTACAACTCATTCCTCAATATTCTGTTTGGTTCATGATGCAACAAACAGTGATTGGATGTACAACATTTGACAAAGCCTGTTATTTATTTTTTATATTTCAAAAACTTAACTTTGAAGAGGTTGTCATGAAGACAAATGATACAGTGATTTTTCTCTCCCCCCATCCCCAGCATTCCCAATAGTAGCAGAATTCCACACTATAAACACTTCCCTCCGAGTGAAGGGAAATACTTCAAAGATTTTAATTGCCAAGGCTGCTGACTCGAATTACTGTAAAAGCAGCTGAGGAGCAGGAGCCTTCAGGGGTGTGACTTTGCAAGGGATGAATGCTGGTTTCAGAGCAGAATCAGCTTTTTATTGTCTAATATTTTGAAAATGTAACTGAATTAGAGTCCTCCCTGCAATATGTAACAAAATGCAGGGGTTTTGTTAAAAATGAGGAGGACCAGTTGCATGAGCAGCAGGTAGATATGCATGTAGGTGTACGAGTGATGTAAGAAGAAAAACAACCCTAACCAATGCACCCTAATCACAATGCTGAAGCTCCAAACCACAGGACATCCGTGCACCAACAGCTGCAGTTAACTCTTAATTTTATCTTTTAAACATTTATCTACATTCCTGCACTGTGAAAATCAGCTTTCTCAAAAGACAAAAAAAGAGACACAATGGCTAGTTTCAGGTTGTGCAGTAAGACTCGGGTAGCTCCTTTAATTTCTTTACACAGTAAACAGACTTCTATTTATACCAACACCCTGGTCTGTACTTTCTTATTTACATGGAACTCTTTTACATATATACATGTTAGCAAAATACAGGGCATGTCCCAGAACCAAATGCATTTGAGCTACATCTTTGTTATACAACTAATGCTTAAAAAAAGAAAGCAAGCCCACCAAGCCCACCTCCCTTCTTTTCTTACACACAGTGATCCATTTAGATGAATACTACAATCATATGTATTTCCTTACTATATAGCACTTTCTCTAGTGACAGAATACCATCAGCTCCAGACCAGTAACTGCAGTTCATTTTGACAGTAAGAAGAGGTTCAAGAGTCCAGCTCTAATTGGTCTTGATTTTCACTGAGTCTTAACATAAGCTGTTGTTCATAATAAAGGCTTTTTGCATAGTTTATTTCTTGAGATAGCTTTACTGCAAGAACTTCAGATTTCACGTTCACCTGCAAAGAAAACATGATTTTTCGTAACATGGTACTGCTGTCACCTAAACCAGAATACAGTTACTTTTTAATCACTTCAGTATATGTAGAGGTTAGCTTTGAAATCTCCTGTAAGGAACAGAAATGTTTCTGGGGTGATTCCTTCTCAGGCTGAAGGAATAACTGAGAGGGAGAGACAGGTACATACCAATAGGTATTGTAGGATGAGAGCTGAAACATCTTGCAACATCTGAAGTTACTTTCTTTGCTTCCCCTGTTACCTTTTATCTGGCTTGTCTGTTTGGAATGTAAACTGACATGGGTCAGGGGTGAGCTTGTCAGCTTGCCTGTGAAACTGACCCCCAAACAACTACTGCAGTGGGTGTTACATGTGAGTTCCGACTGACTTGTACATGCATGACACACTCTTTGCAATCTTAGTATTTCAAGGTAC